CTCCAAAAGGTTTGTACACTTCAATCTATTCTTCTCTGAAGTAACTATACTAGTAGTAACTCTCATGTACTTAAGCCTTTTCTAGAGAATCTCTTTGGTACTCTGTAGTTTAATCACTACTACACTAGCTTGATGTAATAGTTCTTTAAAGGGGAAGTAGGGTGATCATATGCCTTATTGTTCAAAGCAGAACACAGTTGGAGTAAAAGTGGTGCTACACCAGGACACTAAGATGTTCCTGGACAGTCACTACATCCTATCACCTACCCTCCCTAATAAGAAAAGGAAACCAGGGCCAGGCATTTAGCTCAGTGGTTTTGCCGCCTGCTGCGCAAGCGCCAGGACCCGAGTTCAATCCCCGGTACCAAAAAAAAAAAAAAAAAAGGAAACTGACCTAGAGATATTCTAAATTTCTAAAATGTGTAATGCATTATTCTGAGAAATAATTTCATGTTTTTTTCATAGAATTAATTTGGGTTGTCAGGTAACATTTGTGAGAAGAATAGGTAATATGCAGTTGTCACTTTGTAATCCTGGGGAATTGGTTTCTAGCCCCCGGCCCCCAAGGATACCAAAATCTGTATGCTCAAGTAAGTCCCTTTTATAAAATGATGTATTTAATCTGCATATGTCATCCTGTAAACTTTAGTCATCTCTAGATTACCTGTAATACCTAATAAAATGCAACTGCTGTGGGATATAATAGGGGAACTGGATATGGAATGTATAAGACCTCTCTGTAGTATATATATTGATACATTTTTCTGTAAGTAAAACTATTCTTAAAAAAAAAAGGCTATTTTAAAGTAAAATGTTTATTTTAAAAATATTTCTACATAGCAAAATTCCTTTGTTTCTTGGCATCTTATCCAGTCTTTTTAAGCTCCAAAAGTCTCCCAGAAAAGTGTATTTGTAAGAATTAGTTCTACCTAGCACAATATGTTGAATTTTGAAAAGGTACAATCCTTTTCATGCTTTTCAAAGGTAAGTTTATTGAGTATGTGAACTGATAACTGTTCTTTTAGCAATACAAAAACAACTTTTCTGGACAGACATGGTGGCACAAACCTGTAATCCCAGTATTCAGGAGGCTGAGGCAGGAGGATCTTGAATTCTAGGCCAGCCTGTGCTACATAGTGAGTTCAACACTATCCTTTATTACACGACAAAGATCTGCCTCAAAAACAGAACAAAACTAAAAACTAAAAAAAGTGTCAGTTTTCTCAAGAGATTTCATGATACTTTTGAGAGATGATTGGTGCCAGGCACGACACTAAACTGTCAGTCCTGTTTGACAGATGGAGAATTCCGGCTGAGAGGACAAGTTCTTTGCCCAAGGTCAGATAGCTACAGAATGGCAGAGCCAAACCTATCTGAAGTGAAAATCTGGCTCTTTGCCACAGTTCTGGTGGGTTTTTTTTTTTTTTGGTACTGGGGATCCAACTCGGGACCTTGCACTTGCGAGGCAGGTGGTGGAACCACTGAGCTAAATCCCCGGCCCATAAGCATTATTTCTACTTAATTTTTTTTTCTTTTTTGGTACCGGGGATCGAACTCGGGTCCTTGCGCTTGCTACAGTTCTGTGTTACTACTGCCTTGAATATTTTTAATTCTTAATTTAAGGTAACTATCTCTTATAGAATAGTATGTTGCAGAATATTGCCGGGCTTAAAAGCCATCTGTGTGAAAGATAAAGCTCATCAAAATCGCTCCTCAAAAGACACAAACAGATCTGATAGTACTCTGAATTCGTACTTGCTGCCCTGGCCCTCAAGTAGGAAGCAGAGACATGATGCTTTAGGATGTGCTGCCCAAAGGTGAGGTTAATCTCCAGGGAGACTCACATTCTTAAAATTGAGATTATCAGGGCTGGCGATTTAGCTCAGTGATTTCGCCGCCTGCTGCGCAAGTGCCAGGACCTGAGTTCGATCCCCGGTACCAAAAAAAAAAAAATCGAGATTATGAATTGGAATAATCGGTTATTCTGTAGTCCCAGGGTGTTGAGAGGAATACTCATACATGAGTTATGTTACTATCACGTGATTAGAAAAATGACAGAAAAAAAATGCACAGAAATCATTCTTGTATATGTAGCATTCATTCAGTGGGTACTGTATGCTGCCATACTGCTAAGCACTATACATATATTGGCACAAATAATTTTCATAACAGCCCTGTGTGGTTATCCTCATTTGACAGATGAAGAATTAAGGCATACTATTTTTTTTTCTTTCCAGTACCGGGGATCCAACTCAAGACCTTGTGCTTGCAAGGCAGGTACAGTGTCACTGAGCTAAATCTCCGGGCCTAAGGCATACTATTTATTTTTCCAGCCCATCAGGATTTTCCAGACCAAGATAAGTAGAACCTGGCTAGGAAACTCCTTGATGACAAGGACTGTATATTCATTTTTGTATCTCTATTGCCTCACATACGTTTTTGTTACAGAAAAGGCCTCAGTGACTATTTTCTTGTGTATGTATGTGTGTGTGGTTTTTTAAGACAGCGTCTCGCTATGCAGTCCAGGGTGGCCTTGAACTCGCTATGTAGCCCAGGCTAGCCTCGACTTCACAGCAATCCTCCTGCCTCAGCCTCCCACGTGCTGGGATTACAGGTGTGCACCAACACACCTGGCAGCCTCAGTGACAATTAATTGAATAAGTGAGCGATTATCAAAAATACTGTAGTTGAGCTTGAAATATCCATATATATATATCTGAGTTCTCAGAACAAAGCACTGGTGTTTCTGGAACTTTGATTTTTGTCAATATCATTAAATTTCTAGAGAAGAATATTTTGAGGTTCAGTAGCAAACACTATGGTTTGTTTGGGTTTTTTTTAATTTTTAAAGAAGCCCTAGATACTTTAACTAAAGTGACCAAAACTAAACAAGTTGACAGATTATCATATTACAAACAGGTAAAAATCTAGAAGTACGGTTGTGTGTGCACATGTGAGAGAGACATTGGCGGCTTGGGGTATTGCTAATCCAAATGAAGACCTCCTGGGGACTTACAAAATCAGCAACGCATGAGGTGTTTTTTGGCCCTGCAGAAGATGGTGGGCTGGAAGAAATGTGGAGGCCAGGGAGTGAGAGGTTGGAAAGGCACTCCTGAGAGAAGGGGCGGTGGAACAGCCCATGCAGAAAGGCCCAGAGGCACGGAACTTGGCTCAGCTTGGAAACCTCAGTTTCATGACTGGAAGTTGAGGGGAAAGAGCATGCAGAGAGTTGAGGCTAAAGAGCCAGGTTAGCTTTAGAGCTCCTTTTTTTCTGTTGTTCCGGGCATTGAACTTGATCTACTTTTTAATAATAACTGGTTTCGGCCTGAGGGATGCGGAGACTGGGGGGGGGGGGGGCGCCAGCAGCATGGCGGCCAGGCCGAGCCACCCAACCCTCCTCTTCCCCGTAGCCACCATGCCGCCACCGGAGTCGCTGGGGCGTCCTGGCCTGCGAGTGGTAGTTGGGAGCCCTCCTTCCTTTTGGCGCCGCGGGCCGGGCCATGGAGGACATGAAGCTGGAGTTCCCCTCGCTCCCACAGTGCAAGACGACACCTAGGAGTGGACCTACCGTATGAGACGAGAGATGCAGGAAATTTTACCTGGTTTGTTCTTAGGCCCATATTCTTCTGCTATGAAAAGCAAGGTATGAACTTTAGGTTAGGTTCACCAAGAGACTTTAGTAACCAGCTTTCTCTGCTACCTATACCACAGAAACGTGGAATAACTCATAATTTGCATACGACAAGATATTGACGCAAACTTCATTAAACCAAATTTTCAACAACTATTTAGATATTTAGTCTTGGATATTGCAGATAATCCAGTGGAAAATATAATACGTTTTTTCCCAATGACTAAGGAATTTATTGATGGGAGCTTACAAACTGGAGGAAAAGTTCTTGTCCATGGAAATGCAGGGATCTCCAGAAGTTTTGCCTTTGTTATTGCATACATTATGGAAACCTTTGGGGTGAAGTTCAGAGATGCATTTGCTTATGTGCAAGAAAGAAGATTTTGTATTAATCCTAATGCTGGATTTGTCCATCAGCTTCAGGAATATGAAGCCATCTACCTAGCAAAATGAACAATACAGATGATGTCACTACTCCAAATAGAAAGGTCCTTATCTGTTCATTCTGGTACCACAGGCAGTTTAAAGAGAACACATGAAGAAGAAGATGATTTTGGAAACATGCAAGTGGCAACTGCACAGAATGGCTGACTCAAGAGTAACATTATAGAGGGAGTGAATTTCAGTTTGAAAGAGAAAATACTAAAGATGATGATAATGTAAAGTGGTGAAAACACAAGTAGTTTCCTTTCAGTTACATGTTGCTTCCAGAAATGTTTCTCTGCAACATGTTAAGAAGATGTAGGACTTCTGCAGTAGACCGCACTGATGGTTTTACTTTTTCTTTTTTAACTTTACAGTTTTATTATAAACTAAGAATTTTGGACTTGCAAAGAGTTATTATTACAATAATGCATTTTTCATACTTGAATTTTATTTGTATGATATAAAGTTATTTAAACAAAATGGAAGTTGGGGGATTTGTTTATCATTTTTGGGTAATTTATAACAAAAGAATTTCCTAGGGTTTGCTACAAATTCATTTTGTGTTCTATATATTACATTTAAAAAATAATTTTACAGTTACATTTTATGATGGAACCCAATATAACAGAAGTGCAGGCATCTGCCACTTTCTTAGTATAAGGCGGTAAATTAATGATCATTTTTAAAACCCTTAAAAAGCAATAATAACTGGTTTCGATTTGATTCTGAGAACAATATGATAGAGATCATCAGAGCTGGACAGAGGACCAGAGACATGATGTACTGTTTCTGTTGTAAGGGGGAGAAACGTCCTGGGGCACAGATAACAGCGCCTGAGTGACGCCTGCCATAGTCTGTTCTCCTGAAGCATTTAATTTTTTTTTTTTTGGTACAGGGGATTGAACTCAGGACCTTGCACTTGCGAGGTAGGTGGTAGAACCACTGAGCTAAATCTCTGGCCCAGCATTTTACTTTATTGCTACAATTAGAGCCAAATATAGCAGATTTCAGCTTCCCAGTCACTGTAAACAATACTATCCAGTTAAAAGGAAAGTTTCCACCATTCTCTAGCAGATATTATAGAGCTATTCCCAAAGGTCAGCTCGCTTCTCTACACGAAATGAACTCTTGACTATGAAGAGCTGATATCCAGAGAAGATACTCATTTTTGTCTTCTAATCACTAAACACTTAACATTAAAATTGAGTTTTCGTTGCTATTTTGAGAATTAATTTTTATGATATGAAATTATTAGTTTGTAATTAATAGAGAAGGCTAAAGAAGCTAAAAGTAATATTCCTGAGTAGAAAATGAAAATCAGAGTGCCTAAACTGAAGATATTCTTTTTCTTTCTTTTTTTTGGAGGGGGGGGGTGGTTTTGAGATAGTCTCTCGCTGGATAGTTCAGGTTGGCCTTGAACTCACTATGTAGCCCAGGCTGGCCTCAAACTCGAAGTGATCCTCCTGCCTCAGCCTTCCAAGTGCTGGAATTACAGGTATGCCACCCTGCTCAGCACATAAAAAAGAAGATATTCCTTAGATTAGGATTTTAAATATTATGTATTATGATACTTACGCTCACCTCTCATTCTCCATAATGAAAAATGTGCCTAAATGCATGTGTATATACACACAACAAATATATATATAAATATACACATATATATTTGTGTTTCTCTGGTTGTTTTTGTTTTTGAGACAGGGTCTTGCTTATGTAGTTCAGGCTGGCCTTTAAGTTACTGTGTAGCCCAGACTGGCCTTGGACTCACAGCCCTTCTGTCTCAGCTTCCCAAGTGCTGAGATTACAGGTATCCGCCACCACATGTGGCTTGTACCTAAATATTTCTGTTTTAAGCTACTTAAAACTACCTTTAGGAAAGAAAAGTCCATGATTTTCTTTACTATTGTTCTACCACTTATGTTTGTTTAAATGTATTTTCTAAAAATTAATGATCATTTTTCCAAACCATTATATAGTTTACTACATTTTTAAAAATCTATTGATTTATAATAGTCTATTTTCTTAAACTAAAGTTTTTCCTGAATGTATTTTTTTTCTGAATTTTAGTCCTTCGGTTCTTCCTTCAATGTTCATTATGATATTTAAACCCTTTTTATGGCGAGGGTGTAGCTCAGTGGTGAAGGATGTGCCTAGCGTGCATGAGACGCTGGGTTCGCTCCCCAGTACTGTAAACAAAACAAAATCCCAAAACGAAAAGCCAACCCCTCTTCTAAGTGGGTGAAATCCTGAATTGTGTATGTAGAAGAATTTGTGATAGTTTTAATAGTAAGAGAAATGACTATAAATGACTATAACTTTTGTGTTTTACAGATTTGACTATTGTGCCCAGCTTTAAAAAACATAAAATGCTAATAGGTGTTTTGTTAACGGGGAAATATAAATCTCAAGAATTGTATTCATAAGATTTAAAGAATATCTCATTCAATATTTTATGAAGTTACTGATATATATATATATATGTACAATCATTGTCTTTTTTAACAAGATTTTGGTAAACCATTAATTTCTATAATTTTAAAAGATGAAACTTCCCAAGCATTTTTTTCTTGTGTACAGTTGATTATTAGCACATTTAATTGTATCATCAGTAGTTTGAATCCCTTACTATGAATAATAGTGTTAGAAAAGCTCTATGTTAGAATTGTTTTTATTTTTTATTAGTACATTTTACATGTTCAGATAAATGTGCTAAGTTTTAAACTTTGTTGGATAACAATTCTTAAAGCATTGTACTTTTCTCTGCAGATTGATCAGACAGCTGATGCAAGTTTTTTGGGCTGGGTTATTGCTTCATTTAGTCTTGGCCAGATGGCAGCTTCACCTTTATTTGGTTTATGGTCTAATTATAGGCCGAGAAAAGAACCTCTTATCATTTCCATCTTTATTTCGGTGGCAGCCAACTGCCTCTATGCTTATGTCCATGTTCCAGCTTCTCATAATAAATACTACATGTTGATTGCTCGAGGATTGGTGGGATTTGGAGCAGGTAATATATTTGTTTGTATATGTTTGGTCATATCAGGTTCACATTCACCCTGATAATGTATGGCCCTCTCTCATCTGTCCTCATTCTTTCTCAATCTCGTAGCCTATAGCCCAATGTACAGATCTCTCCTTAAAAAGATACAATAGTTTTCCTATAATTTTGCCTTTGTTCATGACGTGCCCATTACCTACAGGTTCTCTTTTGTTCTTTTTCCTTCAAGATGCAGATTAAGTTACACATTTTACATGAAGCCTTCTCAGGCTACCTACTCCTTAATAGATGATTATCTTCTGTTATGTCTCTGGCACTTGCTTTTAACCTTGCACCGTTTTCACCCTTTTTTACCAATTAGTAAACTTTTTGCAATTAGAGACAGTTTATGATACTTTTTAATGTACTGTGGCTCCCACCAGAGTCTCTTGAACATTGTAAGCACTAAATAAAATTTTTCCTCTTTCTTATATCACAGATCTTTGCATCCAGAGTTTGTGATGCCTCTCTTTTAAAAATAGTTGTAACAATAAGTATTTTGCCATTCAGTCAGAGCTTTCTGAATATTTACAGTTTGATAATCTTTTTTTATACTTTTATACCATTGTTTTCATTCATTCAGAACTGTGTTTTCATATTACTAAAAGTACCATGTCCCAATAATTCATGCATTTGCGCAATAAGAATATCTTACATGTGTTGTATAATTGTGAAAGGGGAAGAAGTGACCATACTGTTGGCCAATATTTATTCTGTATAAAACCAAATTGTATTGAATTTTATAAACCAAAAGATATTTGGATTATTCTGTCTTTTCTTAGGAAATGTAGCAGTTGTTAGATCATATATTGCTGGTGCTACTTCCCTTCAGGAAAGAACAAGTTCCATGGCAAATACAAGCACATGTCAAGCATTGGGTTTTATTCTAGGTCCAGGTAGGTGTTTTTCACATGTAATCTGTAACATTTAAATTGTAAATAAGGATCAAAATGTATAATAGATAATGTGAAATAGGAAGAAAAGGCCCAAAGGGGAAGGGGAAGGAATTAGAGCGAAGGGAAAGGAAAGAAGGGAAGGAATAAATATGAGAAAAGGAAAAAAAATGGAAACAAAGTCTTAGTAAATAGGCAGGGATGAAGGGGTTAATGGGAGGCAGGGGAATGGGGAAAGAAATAAGAACCAAGGTATATCTTGTAAAGGTACAGATTGCCAATGATGATTGTGATTATATTGCATACCTAAAATGTACCAATAAACTTAAAAAAAATAATTGGGAAAAATATTTTTAATTACTGCATGTTTGTAATATATAATGTTTACGTTCCTTGTCCATGTACATAATATATGTGTGTGTGTGTATATATAATTTTTTTTTTGGTAGCAGGTATCAAACTCAGGACCTTGCGCTTACGAGGTAACATGGCACCACTGAACTAAATCCCCAGCCCTGTACATAAGATATCTTTAATTCCTTTTTTCCATCTCCTTTCCCTCCCCACCTTCCTGGGAGAAGTTGAATTTGAAGTTCAAATGTTAAATGTAATGCCAGTATAAAGCCTTGTGGCTGAAGGGAAAAAGGGAAGTAACTTTTTTGCTTTTTAATATGCTGGGAATCCAACTTACGATCTCAGATATGCTAGGCAAGTACTCTACCACTGAGCCACATCCTCAGCAGGGAGGGAGACTTATTTTTCATCCAGGGGGGAGTCTAGGCTCATTTTACGTTGTTAACACATCTCTAAATTAAGTGCTATTTGTCCCATTTTATAGATGAGGACACCAAGGCATAGAGCATGTGAGAAAAATTGTCCAAGCCCAAAAGGGAGATGTGGGCTTCAAACTCTTTTCTTTCACATTTTTATTAGTACATGTTTGTGGTACATAATAGTTCCATTCATTATGGGAGTTGGTACATGTACATAACAACTTAATTCTTTTTATGTCCCCTACCTTCTCCTGCCTCACACTTCCCTTCTCCATTTGCAAAAGTCAGAATTAACTGTTTCTAGACCACTTTTTTTTTTTTGGTACCGGAGATTGAACTCAGGTCCTTGTGCTTTTGAGGCAGCGGTTGAACCACTGAGCTAAATCCCTGCCCCAGAACTGTTTCTGACTCTGTCAAATAATCCATTAGCTTGATATCTGTACAAGAATTTATTTTCTTTTTTTCCATTTATTTGGAACAAAATTTTTTCCACTGAAGGAATTAAGGAAGTTATAGGAAGTTCTTTTCCTTTTTATGCTTTACCCATACCTTTAAGATTTTTCTTAGGTTGAAGAAAATGAAAGAACTTTTTAAAAGCTTACTTTTCCTGGGCCGGGGATTTAGCTCAGTGGTTTCACCACTTATTGCACAAGCGCAAGGACCCGAGTTCGATCCCCAGTGCCAAAAAAAAAAAGCTTACTTTTTCCAAAGCTTCCATCCTTTTGCTGAGAACTTTAAAAAAAAAGAGTGAGGTTTAACACTTCTGCAAGGCAAATTAATTTTACTGAGTAGAAAAATTAATCATTTTTATGCCTGGAATAATGTTCAATAACACAGAAATATATACACATATAATTGGTTCATGGTTTGAATATTGTGATTGTATAATCAGTTTGACTGTAACTCAGTTTACTTTATTCACATCTCATCCCCACCTTACTTTCCATTACTTCCTTCAGTTTAGGTAAAAACAGTTTGGACATGGTGGTTCAGGAGACTTAGGGAAGAGGATCGCAAATTTGAGGCCAGCCTGGACAGTGTAGCAAGACTGTCTGAAGATAAATTAAGAAAAGGTTGGGGTTATAGCTCTGTAGTAGAGCTGTGTCTGTGTTTAATCCTGAGCACCTCAAAAGAAAGGCTCAGCAGAAGAATCTAACTCATGGGTTTACCAAAAAACCTAATAATTTGATTTAGTATTCTATAATAAATATAAGCACAAATATAAAATAAATGAATTTTAGTTCTGTATTTTATATTACATAAGGACTTTATCTGAGTCTTTTGAAATCTGCTGTGAATGTGGAGGACAGTACCTGGTATAGACAAAAGGTCTCAGTAAATATTATGGCTCACCTTAAAAGCTTTCTATCTACCTATCTATCTAACTGTGGTACTGGGGATTGACCCTAGGCCTTTGCACTCAGCTGTATTTCCCAGTCTTCCTTAAATTTTTTTATAATTTTGAGACATTGTCTCACTAAATTGCTATGTTGCCCAGGCAGGGCTTGAACTTGCTGTCTCCCTGTCTCAGCCTCCCTTCGTGCTGTGGTTACAGGAGTACACCACAGTGCCTTGCTAAGAAGCTATAGAATTTAAATTTCATGTGGAGTTTTTTGCTTTTGTTTTTGTTTTTTTAAAGACAAGAAGACATTGGAACTGGGTAGGTGCTCCATGGTAGAGTCTGTGCTTAGCATACATGAGGCTGTGGGCTCAGTCCTCAGAACCACCACCCACCCCTGCAAAAAAGAGAAGATACTGATAAATCACTTTAGATACAAGTCCTTATGAATGCAAACATCAGTGTCTCAACGTTTTTCATTATTGCTTCCCTAAGGTGCCATTTTAGACACTTGTGTCCTAAATCCTTTATCCCCTATGAAATTCTAATAATTAAATAGTCTATCAGATATTTATGTATATATGTACCTCTGTGCTTTATAAAGTGTATATAACAAAGAACCAGTTTTCTTGCCCCTGATGAGACTGCTGCATGATATCGATAGATGATTCCATGTTACTTCCAGTGGGAAGTGTTTTATATTTTTTAGCCTGTTTCTCTGATGTAGTAATTTGTCTGTGTACATTTTAATAAGTTTTTCAGACTTGTTTTGCACTGATTGGAGAAAAGGGTGTGACATGGGATGCGATTAAGCTGCAGATAAACATGTACACTGCACCCGTTTTACTTGGCGCCTTCCTGGGAATTTTAAATATTATTCTCATCCTTGCTGTATTAAGGTAATTAGACAGAAATGGTAAGCTATTTTGTTGATTATGAAATTTAATAAACCTTTTCATTATTGGAGGATAATTACCCCATCAGTCTTTATTTGACTTCTGATGTCTTTCATTGTACTCATATTTTTTGATCAGCTTAAAGTATGGGCATCGACAATAATAGGCAACTTGTTAATTGAGAACAGATTATGAAGATCTTTCAACATTCAAGGTTTGGTTGTGATTTACTAAAACTCTAAGAAAGAGAATGGCAAGAAAACAACATTTTCAGTAGATTAATGGCTTAGTATCAGCCTTAAATACACAGATTACTTGACTCTTATCTTTTACATATTAGAAGAAATTTTCCAGAAGTACAGAAGTTGTGTTACTTTTCTTTAGAGTGCCTTATCCATTGTCCAAAACCACTTATAAATAATATTTAAAAGCACTGAAAAATTTATGGTAGACCATATATACTTTTAGGTGAATTAGGTGTCTTTTTCATTTATGGTGTTAATATGAAAAGAATTATAGCTGGGAGTGGTGGCTCATGCCTATAATCCCAATGCTCTGGGAGGCTGTGGCAGGATTGTAAGTTTAAGCTCCAGCCTAGGTAATTTAATGAGACCCTGTCTCAAAATGAAAAGAAAAGGGCCAAGATGTAGCCCGGTAGGTAAGCCTGGGGTTCAATCCCCAGTACCACAAAACCCCCCCAACTCCCCGCCGCCGAAGTTCTAGATAATGTGAAATAGGAAGAAAAGGTCTAAAGTGGAAAGGGAAGAAGACGTGGGGTTGGGTAGGAGGAAGGAAAGAAGGGAAAAAAAAATATGGGAAAAGAAAAAAATGGAAACAGGCTTTGTAAATAGGAAAGGGTGGAGGGGTTGCAGGGAGGGCAGGGGAATGGGGAAAAATAAGAACCAAGATATATCATGTAAAGGTACAAGTTCCCAGTGGTGAATGTGATCCTATTGTACACCTAAAATGTACCAATAAACTTAACGAATGAAAAAAAAACCCCAACCTTTAAAATCTATTGTTTATATTCATTAGTAAGAAAAGAAACAATACAAGAATCTCCAAAAATAGAACACTGGCTATCATGAGTTCCCAGAGTCCCACAGTAGCATGTACCGCTCTTCCCAGATACAGTATATACTTTCATTTTTGCTTTTTAATCTTCTTTTTCTCTGCCCATTTACTCTGTAGAGCTGGTTTCTCCCGTGCCCGTTCAGTCTTTACTTTTCAGATAAACTTTCAACACCATTAAAAAATAATAGAACGCTACTAATAAATTTAAACCAGGCCTAATGGCCCATCCTCATAATCCCAGCACTTGGGAGGCTGAGGCAGGAGGATTGCGGTGAGGTTGAGGTCAGCTTGAGCTACATAGTAAGTTCAAGGCCAGCCTGAACTACACAGCGAAACTCTGTCTCAAAAAAAAAAAATTTCCTATATTATACTAAGCATTTTATAAAGAAATGTTTATGTTTTTCTTTTTAAGAGAACATCGTGTGGATGACTCAGGACGACCATGTAAAAGTATTAATTTTGAAGCAGGTACTAATTTATTTGATTAAATTACTTTATCATTATCAGAGTGCTTCTAATGATTGTGTCTGTTTAGTATTTACTTTGACTTTTCTTCCGAGGATAATGTAGTGGGTGCCTGGGGAAGATTTTGAAAGCTAAAAGGTACCTAAATTTACTTATTTTGTAGGTAATACTGGGGATTCAACCCAGGGCCTTCTCAGTAAGCTACATGCCAGTTGTTTATTTAGTTATTTAGTTAGTTTCTTCAGTACTGGAGATTGAATGGCTTCCCCAGCCCTTTATTTTGAGACAGGGTCTTGCTGAGTCACTAAGTGGCCCAGACTAGGCTTAAACTTGTGATCCTCTTGGCCCAGCTCCCTCAATTCTGAGATGACAGGAATGTACTACCACCCCAGCTCTAAGTTGGTTTTATTAAGGAGACCTACCCATCTCATCACTTGGTGTTCATGACTGGCAAGGTTAAAACCAGTGCTAGGAATCACTTTGTCTTATTTTCAGAGAGTAATGTATTAAAACTTTTGAGATTTTGGAGTGATTTCAAAAACTTTGCTACCAAAATTGACTTTCTGTTTCAAGCAGTTCTTAATCATCTTAGCATAATAGGTATGGTTTTGATTTCTTACTTTTATGCTTTTCTTATACTTTACAAATGTATATTTTTATCCTTTAGATTGATCTCTGATTTATAAATAAGTACCCAGTCTGGTAAATAGGTATATTTTGCCAAATAAGCTATTATTTAAGTACTAATTATGGTTAAATACTCCTTGGCCAATGTCCTCCCAGTGAAGAATGAAACTTGGTACTTGCTCTCAACAAGTTTATAATATTATGGAAAAGTCACTTTTCTATTTTACCAAGCACTTTCATATAAAATCATTTTTAAATTTTAATACATCCTTGGCTAAAATGTATCTGGTAAAAACTCCCATACTTATTTAAGTTGAAAAGATATTTGTCTTAGATTTTTGTCAATGTGACAAAATACCTGAGAAAATCAACTTAAAGGAGGGGAGATTTATTGGGCTTATGGTTTCAGAGGTTTCAGGCCATGGTCACTTGGTGTCATTGCTTCTGGGCCTGTGGTGAGATGCTCTGTCTTCTTGGGGAGCCTGTGGTGGAGCAAAAATTTCACCTCATGGTGGAGAGGATGGGCCAGGGACAAGATATAGTCCCCAAGGCACACCCCCTGACCCACTCCTTTCAACTAGGCCACACTTTCTAAATTCCCATCACCTCCCAGTAAGTATAGCAAATTATAAACCGTCAACTAATCAACCCACTGATGACATTAAAACCTTCACAAATCCAGTCTCCTTCCAAAACCCCACTTCTGAACATTGCTACAATGGTGACCAAGCCTCCAAGACATGAGGTTTTGGGGGGCATTCCGGATACAAACCATAGCAGTATTCAGATTTAAAGAGGTTATGGGATAGGACTATTATTTCCAGATACATAAATTTTAAATCAATATAATAATGTAATCTTTTCTTAAAATTGTTATATTTTAAGTCAGTGCTTGCAGTGTAGCATATATTTTTGAGATTCCTCATTAAACCCAACCATAGGTGTAGGCTACAAGAAATTAACCATATATGAAACAAATTCCAGTATGACTCAGGGCATTGTTGTTATATTAGTTAAAGGAGTCAACGTTGGTGAACAGTTCTCTTTGTGTGACTAATAATACTAGTTTTTGGCAAGCACTCTACCTCTGAGCCATATCTGAGGCCCTTCTTTGTATGATTAGAAAGCAAGGTCAGAAGCCTGTGTTGAATGTCTAAGCTTTGTAATTCCCTCTACATATAGCAAACTATTTCCAAACTATTGGGGAAAGAACTCCTTAGGAGTTCTGAGATAGAAGTATAGGCTATTATGAAAACAATATGGAAACTTCTGTGCTGTAGGAAAGCTGTATGTACCATGTCCATGCCACCCACACTAAAGATAGCAAAAACAAGCACATTCTCTTACTATTTACATAGCTTATGCTGAATAAATAGATGTATAGGCAACATACTTCTCAGTTATAGCTTATAGTGAGTGTACAGGTATAACTTCATGGTTCAAGAGAAGTCAATACATTCACTTTGTCCTCCTGCTTTATTTTATCTTCAATTTCATTGACTGATACTGATTTATTTAGAATTTTTATATCTTCTTGATTCAGGTTTGATAATTCATGTATATCTAGGAATCTGTCCATTTCTTCTGTGTTTTCCATCATATTAGAATACAAGTTCTAGGGCCGGGGATTTAGTTTAGTGGCACCATGCCTGCCATGCAAGCACAAGGTCCTGTGTTCAATCCCTGGCACGAAAAAAAAAAAAAATACAAATTCTCGAAGTAGGTATTGATGATCTTTTGGATTTCTGCAGGATCTGTTGTGATTTTACCCTTTTCATTCTTATTTTAAATTTTATTTTATTGGTACATTTTAGGTGTATAATATAATGACATTCATCATTGGAGATATGCACCTTTACATACGCTATTGGTTCTTATTTTTTCTCCCTTCCCCTGGCCTCCCTTCAACCCCTCCATCCCTCCCTATTTACAAAGACTTTATATCCATATTTTCATTTTCTCATACTAATTCCATTCCCTTCTTTCCTTTCCCCTACCCCTCCCACTTCCCCTTCCCCTTTACCCCTTTTCTTCCTATTCACAGTATCTATTATACCTTTTAGTCTTTATTGACACTTTTCAGTTTCTCACACTAGAGAAACTATTAGTATTTACACATGTGTCCTATTTATTTCACTTAAGAGCATTGCCTCAATGTGCATCCATTTAGCTACACATATCTCTAATTTCTCATTTTTTGTGGCTGAGTAGTACTCCATTTTATTTTTTAAAAACCACATTTTCTTTATCCAGTCACCAGTTGATGGGCATTTGGGCTGTTTCCAACTTTTAGCTATTTCAAACTGTGCTGCCATGAACATGGGTGCACGTATATCACTGTGGTATGATTCTTTTAATCCTTTGGGGAAGATACCCAGCTTGGGAATAGCTGAGTCAAATGGGACTTCTAGTCCTAGTTCTTTGAGGTATCTCCATACTGATTTCCACAGTGGTT